GTACCAGCATGTTGTTATGTCATTAATGTGGTCATTTCATTACTTATTTTATTTATTTATGAAAAAAATTTGCTAAGCCCGCATACGGCGCCATCTCTTATAACCGATACCAAGTTTATTTTGTATTTTGTATACCGCGCCATCTCTGATACCTGGAACGAAGCTCGGCATTGCAGATACAGTAGAACAATGCTGCTCAGGAACTGCAGCTATTTCGAACAGAACTATTCCACTATTCCGACCAGATAGAGTGGTGCAGAAAGAGTAGATCAGATAGAGTAGTGCAGATAGAGTAGAACAGATGGAGTAGTGCAGTGCAGATAGAGTGAAACAGGGCTGCGCTAGATATTTTTTTTGTTTTCTTTACATTCTTTGAACATTCCTGTGCCTGAGTTTATTTATTTGGTGGTACACTTTACAAGAATAATGCCCACAAGCTGCCTAAAAAAGGATGATGTAAAATTTTAATTTTAGGTGACTTCTGATCCAGAGAGTAAACATTACTTTTCTTCAACCAAAGCCAAATTCACCATCGAAAAAAACTGAATTTAATTCAGCTAATAGATACGTTAACACAACATTTAATAGGTATATTTAATAATTCAGAGGCGGTACGAAGTTCGCCGGGTCAGCTAGTATTTTATAAATAAGATCAGCAAAAAATTTCTGATAGTATAAGTATCTTGTTTTCTTTTTTGATGTGTATATTTGTTACTCAATTTTAAAAGATATATATGATACAATGATGTATGATACAAGTATAACTGATTTTGTTTGATAATAAAGTGATGAAAGAACATTACCAAGGGCATTTTCAGATTGTAATGCCCTTCAGGCGAAATATATCCCTCGGGCTAGTTTCGTCTGCTGGGCATTATAATCTACATAATGCCCATGGTACATAAATAGCTATTTAGTTTATAGACATTGATATACACCAGTTAGGATCATAGCCTTGGTAATTATTATTTTTTATTTTCTTAATAGCTTATTCCACAATAATCTACTACGGAGTGACCAATATAAAAATAGATAAGAAAAGAAAGGTACAATAGCTTGTTTACATTACCCTGGTCCCTTTTTTTCCTACTTCAGTGATGATTTATCAATAAGGTATAATAATATTGAGATAAACAAATCCTTCCATCTTTACTTGCTGAAACGCACAAAACACCAATTCCAGATTGTTTCGAAAATGTGATGAAAAACCTTTTGAGAATGATCATTATTCGTGGGGCAAAAATTGCCAAAACTACTTAGTGCAAAACAATATTATCATTTTTTCATGTAGGTGCCCACTGTAGTATACTTATTATGCATCAGATAATATGTACTGGTATTACTATGTAGATATATAATTTTTCAGTCGATCCACACTGACCAAATATACGTCTAATTCAACGACGTCAAATGGACGCTTCATAGACGTTTTATTACAGGGTGTACAGGGTATTTTTTCTGAATGGGTCATATTGGGTTTTACAAGGTAATTTTTGAACCTGTTGGTAAATCTATTTAAAATCGACGTCATAACGACTAACCTTTGCTGCTTGAAATGTTTGTTGGAAAAAAGACCTGCTGGAAAAATCCTCCAGCATTTTAAATGTTTGAATGGATTTGGAGCAGACGACTTTTTCGCAGATTTGTTTTTGTATCAAAATTGTATTCGCTAATATCCAATGTTCTTTATCTTAGGCCCGGTTTATCCATCTTGAGATAAACTTGCTGGTAACTATCTGCAAGATAAATTTACAAATCTATAATCCTGTTGGTCACTGGATAATTGGTTAACCAATGGGATTACATATTGCGTTTTTATCCATCAGATTGCATTACCTGACAAATTGCCTGACGACAGTTTATTAGAAAGTGAATAAACTGGCTCATATGTATTATGAAGCTCTTGTAGAGCCGGAAATAGACAAAAATTTGATAATTGAAAGGCAGACAATAAGGGAAAATGGAGTAGATGAGTAGCATCAAGTACCTATATGTTGTTTCTATTCCAGGTTCTTGAATTCTCTTAATGTAGAGATATTTAGAAATAAACAATTCATGAGTCAGCAATAAATAAAAATTTAAACAGAAAACTTTGAGTACTGAAAAGCAGAAATTTTCAGAAAATCGAGTAGATAAGTAGACTCAAGTATGTTGTTTCTATTCCAGACTCTTGAATTTTTTTTATGTAGAGATATTTAGAAGGAACAATTCAAGAGCCGGTAATAGACGAAAATTCAGAAATTTAGAGAAGAAATTTAAGCAAAATTTCTAGAAAGCAGAAGTATCTGTTTGGCAACTATTTCACAGATTTAATTTTTCGTTCTGGGACTGGAACACTTAACACTTCTAATAGAGTAGACATAATGAGTAACTATGCTATTATTTCCTATTCCAGGCTTTTGAATTTTCCATGTTTGGAGGTATTCTTGAGAAAACAATTCAAGAGCTGAATAGAAAAACATTTAGACAGAATAATTTGAGAATAGGATAGCAGAAATTTAGTGAAAATTGAGTAGATAAGTAGACTTAAGTATCTTTTGAATTTTCACTGTTTGGAGACACCCCAGCTTACCACAATGACCAGTGTGTCGTAAAAGAACGTCCAATTTTGGACCACTTTGGTCTTCCACTGAAACTCATACTGAAATATATTTTGATATAAATTTGTTTTTTTTTTCTAAAATGTTTGATAAAACCTCGGATAAAACCTTGGATAAAACAATAATAACAGAAATTGGTCTAAAACTCGGTCTAAAATCATTTAAAATTTACTTGGGGTAATCTGATTTTTAGTTCTTGAGGAAAAATTCCAGTCAATATTCATCCAAAATAGGTAAGTATTAAATGTTCGATTAAATGAGGCTTCGAATTATTTGCCTACCTATATCTAAAACAGAAATCTGATTATGACTAGTCTTAAGTTCCTGCATAATCTGTAAAACCCAAGTACATGCTTCTCTCACCATAGACTTCTTTACTTTTGACAAACTTTTGTAGTAAATTGATTTCGTTTTCAATTTCAACAATACATTCCTCTATTCCTGCAAAGTGTTTATTTAAATGGTTTACTATCTCATCTGAGTTTATCCTTAACAATAACATTACTTAGATAGGTATATTCAAAGTGTGAATAGTATAATATTTCAAGTAAGTTATATTTTAGGGAGTAATTTTTGAGCCAAGTTAAACTTTTGTTGAACATATCAATACAATACCAGTAAGTACAAATCATCAAAAATACTAGGCGTTATTTGAGGACTTCCCCACATTTTTATTCTAATCAATGACTTCTGATGAGTTAGCTATATTTGTTTACTGAACGGAAAATGACAATGATCAACATAGAATGGTGAATCCATCGGTGAGATTTGATGAGAGTAATATAAACTCAAGAGTATGTTTCACTCAAGGTCGAGCTCAAGGTCTCAATAGAATGGTCTACATATCAGGATGCTCATGATTATACAGTGGAAAAAGGTCAACACAAGCTCTTACGTTTTTGCACATTCAAATTAAAGGTCGCAATACAAGGCCATAATTATAGTTATTTAGAGAAACAGCTCAATTTAAATTCTCAGAAAAATTAAAAAGAGAACCTTTTCTGGATGATTATTTGTTCACAGATTAGTTAATTTCAGATCTCAGATTTATTGCAATTGCAATGTATAAGTAGATATTGAAATATCTACAAGAAATAGAATAAGGATTTAATATCTAGCTGGGCATGTTTAAGGAACACTCGACTAGGTTATAATCTACTCTCAGGATTATTTATTCTGTATTTTGCGAGGTATTTTGCCAAAATCAGCCAAAGTGTACCTTCATTTTTCGACCTGAACACATTTAAAATGGGAAAGATCAAGTAGAAGTACAGTTCAACTGAACTACTATTTGGTACAATTGGGCCTTATTCGATTGAACCTTGGATCAACTAAACCGATATCCTTTTACTTACTTTTTCCAATCCTTGATAGTCAAGAAAAACAATAGGCACAGTCGAGGGCACAGTAAATTCCTTTCAAAGAATATGCACTAACTATAATCTTGTTGCTCATCAAAACTCTCACTATCATAATGTTTTTATTACATTTGAATTATTATTATTATTCCGAGTATTATTCAATTATTATGCCACACACACACACACAGATAACATAGAATGTACAAAGAAAAATACACTCTTGCAAACCTTTACAAAAACACTAACTCATCTGATTTGGCTGTTTGTGTTTCAAGCTCATTATCTAATCTTATCAAGCATTATTTTTTTGGAACTTAAATAATTGGCGAATTTTTGATTAACCCTAGGAGAAGTGAAAGGAGAAACATTCTAGAGACATCGCCATCAGCAACAATGGTTTAATTTTGGATTAATTTTGATAAAATCAGGCAATCCTAATAGACACAAGTCTTATAATATAACACTTGATTTTTAAAATTGAGTGTCTATAATGAATGATGCTTTTCTGAAGTGTCTTCTAATCTATAATATATCCACCTTAGATAGATTTTTTGATAAATGTGTAGTACTTACCTATTCTGGCATGAGCATTATCAGAAATGGTGTCACTTCAAAGATGCAGATTTTTATTTTTTTTTTCATGCATTTGGACGATTTGGATATCTCGTTAAGCCTGCCGTGCTAATTTTAGTAGCCAGAAACGTAAAGACCCAAACAGCCAAAAATAATATGAGACATGCACCATAATATTTTATTACTGTAGTATAGAATATAACAGAGAATATCTGACTATAATTGTCCAATTTTTGTGGCTGGAACGGCGGGGCTAACGGCGAGCCCGTCTGTAGGCGCAAACGGTAACGGAATCGTAACGTCAAGTTTATAAATGGGCCTTAAGTACCTATTTACCAATATAAAATATAACATACTTTCATAAAAGAAATAGAAAAGTGTGCGGCTTTCTCCAAACATTTATCAATGAAAATTGAATATTTCCTGGAAAACCTCAGATGCAAATGCAATTTATCAATTCACTTACCTCTACTTGAGAAAAACAGTAACATTAAATGCTTTCTTCATCCATATAAAGACGAATCAATGGAACTAGATAATCTAAACTTTTGCTGCTAGGTATCACAAATAATATGGCCTTTCTCAAGTTAGAAGACATAACATGTATTTTATTGAGCGCCACATACTTTTTACGGTTTCTTGCACTTCCGCTTACTGGTAATTGCCCTACTTCAGGGACAAATTGAAGGGAGCAACAGATGTTCCCTTCCTCGGCCGCCAACGAATTAAAAACATCACATCTACATGCATGCAACACCACGCAAAAGTGGATCAAGCAAGAATCAAAGAATCAAAAGTGAATACATGAATAGGAAATAAGAATAGAATAGGAAAACATTAGAGGATTTCAAGCGTTTGACCGGTCATTTACACTTGACAGATAAACAATAAAGTAAACGTCATATCTGTTAACCAATTGGCCTTGAATGATGTGGAATGCGTTGCTCATCTGTCAATGTTACCGGTTGGTCAATCGTTTGAAAACCCCAATGCAGGGTTGCGTTTAGAAATAGCACTCTGGGTGTGAGAGTGACCCTAGAGTAATTCTTAATCCGTTCATAAATTAACAGGTGCTTACTCGGAGCGTTACGCTGGAATCGTTCAGAAATCGAGAGTTGACGTGCCCAGTGCGCCCAAATTACCCCACTCAGGGACTGGGTTGAAAAACACCCCATAACCCTTTTCACGTGGCTCCGGTTTAACAAACCGCAATATACCGCTCAAATTCGAGTGGTATCGATCAAGTCACTTTGTAACCGGGTTAGAAAACTAACCGTTTTATTTGTAACACGGTTAGTTTAAATGGAGCCACGTGAAAAGGACTCATGGTTTTGACGTGATTTTAAGGTTATTTCCATTATGGTAATTCTTAGAATCTTGTGATGGAGTCCTCTAAGATGGAGTCGAAAAATATAGATATCAAACATGATTCATTCTGCCGTTGTGTTGAAAAATAACGAGCCCCTTGTTGACGGCGGTTCTGTAATTATCGGCTTTTTTTTCTTGAATAGGTTGGCCCTCTTTCTACACTGATTCAACAATAGGATCAATTCCTCTTCGCTATCTGAAGCATTTTCTTCAGACGAAGGATGTTCCAGCAGGACATCATTTGATAAGAACATAATAGGGTATGTCCATGTGACGTCACAAATGAGTTTGACAATCGCCCTGAGGTAAAACAAATCATTTATTTAGTATATTTATTATAAAGTGCGTTTTTTTTTAAGATAAAAGTCAAACTGGCATTAGGTTGGCAATACAATGTAAAATTGTCAATGCTTTCAAATTTTCCATGTAGAAAAGGCTTGTGTTGCCAACATAGTTACTAAATTTTTGACTTGGGGAATTATCTTTAAAAAAAAAAAACAGATTTTAGTACCAGAAATAACCAAAGTGGGCATCTCATAATACCAAATAGCAACTCCAATCTAAATTTAAGATTTTTTAATTACTTAGCTCCTAAGTTCTACAACCTGTTACCTATAAATATAAGAATGATACGTAAAAAAAATGTGTTCAAAAGTAAATGCATAAATATATATTTCAAAATTTAAACTTATTCTTGGTTTTCTTGTAAGGTACTTGTATTAATTTGAACTATTGACAAATTTTGAAGACATTGGTGGTTTTTCTGTGTATACATTTCAAAATAAGTCCACTCTTATTTTTGTCTTCTGCTTTATGTAAATTATTGATAGTATCTATAGACCTATCTATTTTTACCTGTATGCGCGCGCAACACGAGGCAATGCATTTTTATTGGCTAACTAGTACAGGTGTGAAATAATCCTTTTGCACGCTGGGTATCTCCTTGTCCTTGTTCATTGCCCGTGGTTTGACAAGGATAAAATTATGCTTGATATTTAACTTGACGTAGCTTGACAAGTGATCGATTTTCAATTGTTTGTGTTTTTGATTGACAAATACGTTGCACATCACGCGGTTTTTCTCCTTCCTTTTTTATCCCGTGCAAATAACAAGAACGGATTGCTATACGTAAGTCTAACATAATTTGGTACGTTTTGCCTCGTCTTGCGCAATACGCGTTCTGCGTCTTTTTCTATCTAATAAAGTTTTCGTATTATTACCTCTTTGTCTGGTAAAATAGATAGGTCTATTGTCTTTGGTTATGGGTAATTGTACTATAGTATGTTTTTCTCTGTGCTAACTGCACATACAGATATTTATGTCTAGGTGCAGAATAATAACAATATCATGTGATAGTGAAGTAATTTTTATTGTAGTCTATACCTAAGTGCAATTTATTGTAAATTAACCAATTCCAGTAATATATAATTCTGTGAAATAATTCTGTAATTCTGTATTTACATTGGTGTAGATTAGGCCGGTTACGTTTTATGCGGTTTTCACAGCTTTTTTGCAAGTTTTTGTGTTATTTTGTTTTAAAAAAGTTAAAGGAAAGTGTTTATGTTCCAGTCAATGTGGTGTTTTATCCAGAAGTTTGGTAAGTTTTTCTATAATGGATTAAATTTAGGGTTTTTCCAATAAAACTCAAACCCAAGTGTCACAAGAACAAATGTATAAGTATAGTTACTCTATAATTCAATCTATTTTTCTGTCAGATCTTCTCTTTTAACAACATTAATCAATTTTTCTCTTCTTTCTTGAGCTATAGACGTATTCACGATAGAGTTTGAATTTTGACCGTTTCACCAGTTGAAAATAAATAAAATCCCCAGATCTGTCCCTTTTTCTGACAACTATCAAATAATGATACATGACATTTTGATTTGACACATAAAAATATCAGATTCGGGTCTTTGAATTTTGATTTTCGAATTTTTGTGTGAAATCGTTCAGTTTTTTGCCGTTTTCTGCATTATTTTTTTATTCTATCGCAATCGGTTTTCTCTGTAGTGTTATGTGCCTTTGTGTTTCGGTGTTGCGTTTCAAACCTGGTTTTAGTTTGGATTTTAAGTGTTTACTCTTTTTATAAGTGTTTACTTTGGACTCTAATTTTAGGATTTTTGGATTTTAATAACTTAACTTCCTTTAAAGAAATTGAAAATAAATTTTTATTCTGAAATGTATATCACTTTTCTAAATACGACCCTGTCGTTTATCCCGGCTGACGGAATCGAAGCGCTAACGCATGCTGACAACCTAAAGAAAAAGTTTACTAAAATGTCAACGCGAACTGTCAACATCATTTTCTATCGTGATTTAGGGCGGGTATTATAAAACTACTTTGAGAGTTAACTTAAACTTAAAGTTAACTTCTGGAATTACATGTACTATCGTCACCAAAAGTAACTGGGACAGCATCACATTAGCTCTTGTCCTATTATATGAATTTTATTGTCAAATATTTGTCAAACTATGCATTAAATGCATTGAAATGAATGACAGTAGAATTAGTCCAGGAGATTATTATGCATTATTTGTGTCCCAGTTACTTTTGGTGACGATGGTAATTCAAAAAATTAACTTTAAGTTAACTGTCAAAGCAGTTTTATAATACCCGCCTTAGTCTATAACAAATCAAATCTCCCATTGTTATTTGAAATTGATGGAAACCTATGGAAGGATATTGTATCCCTTGCGCTATACTGCCATAATTAACAACTAAACAAACTCTAGGCATGTCTAAGAAACTTCTGCACCACACAAAAAGTATTTAATCAAAAACATCTAACTAAAAACCTTAAAATCCACTGTATAAGTGTATACAGTGAGGGGCAAGCTACTAGGTATATAGGAAGTAACCTGTCGAATTTACAGGCGTCCGCATGTCAGAAAAAAACAAATCAATTTAGCGCTAACCTGGTGACAGCCAGGTAAAAATTTTCTTGGGTTGTTGATAATTTTAAAAAATATGGTTGTGTTTCTCCCCGAAACCGAAATGATGTCCAGTAAAATAATAAGGATCAAGAAGCCGAATGAATTATGTCGTTGGTTGTTGGCGGCATTAGTTTACGAAACTCCAACTATTTCTACTCGTGCGCTTGCGCACGAGATTTACTCAAGTACAAGGACGGTGAGGAAGCCACAGAAAAAAAAAGGATCGTTTGTACAAAGTACGAAACTCCCAAAAAATTGATCCTGATGCAAGGACAACATCATGGCGAATGGAGTTTTGTGAAACTGATTAATGAAGATTTTCTTAGAAGAATTGTCTTCACAGATGAAACGACATTTCATTTCAACTGCATTGTCGACATAATCCTAGTCACACCCGTTATTGGTCTAAGGTCTACGGAGAATTTACACAGGTATTTTGAACTTAGAGCCCAGCGTCCTCAAAAGGTAACTGTCTAGAGCGGTTTGTATGGAGAACATATTATTGGGCCTTACTCCATTGACGCTAACTTAACTGGTATATTTGGATTTTTCGCAACAGCAGATAATTCCAGAAATAAGAAGATTATCTGGTCCTAGAATTTATGAAATATGGTTTCAACAAGATGGATGTCCAGCCCAAAACACGGGTTTCATTCTGGACCATTTGAATAATACTTTTCCAAACCGTCTCATTACTGGGTCGAGAGCTACAATACTGTGGCGAGCCCGCTCTCCCGATATTGCACCCATCAACGATTATTTTTTCTGGGGTTATTGCAAATCAAAAATGTATGGTGGTCAGGAGGATCGCGCCGTGAACCTTAAGCAGCAGCGTTTCAAAATTCGAGAAATATATCTAACTGTCACCCATGTGATGCTGGATAATGTTCGTAGAGCCCTCTATGATTGTTTAAGTCATTGTTTATCTCAAGAAGGCGGACTGTTTGAACATTTGCTACATAATATCATCTGTTTAGAACTTTTGTTTTCATTTTACCTAATTTTTCTTCTATTTTTTAGTTTTTCCTTGATGGCTTTTTTAAAATACATGTTTTCTTTTCATAGAATATGAAACATTATTGTTTCGGTTCGAAAAAAAATCTATCTACACGCTTAATTTTAATTATAACTAAGTGAAGCTCGACGAATCGATACATCTAAAAGCACGGTCCAGATGCTACGTTTTGCATAACGTTTTGTTTGCACAGTTTAACACGTGATCAGTAATCAGTAACGTAGCGTCTGGACCGGGCTTAAGTCTGTAAAATCATAAAACATACTGATGTGAACCTGGCTTGTGAACAAACTCAACGAACGTCAAAGTCATCGAAAAAACGACAGCGAACCGACAGCGACAGGGGCCCAATTCTCCAGTTACGACTAAAAATCTCGCAATCGACAAATCACGCATCTGAATGTCGAACGCGAATCCTAAACTCTATTCTCGGTCGGTTCGACAATTGTCGAATGTTTAAACATGGCAACATCTAATTTTAT